TTGATTGAAAGTAAAGAAAATTGCAAGAAAATTAAACTAGCCTAAAAACAGATTTTAGCGACGGGAATTGCAACGAATTTAGAGACGGATTTCTTGTGACAGATTTTCCAGCAACCAAAATTGGTCACTAAATCTGTCTCTAAACTAGATTTCTTCTTGGTTTCTTACACCTGCACAAGGAGCAAAATAAATCCAGAAAAATTGAAGGCCACCTCACAATGACAAGGAAGGATCACTCTTGTGAAGGTTATTTAGGAGATTCAATGAGTTTAGTGTTGGTTGCTTTCCAAAACCTCCTAGCCTTAGAATCTTTTTCCTTCCTCTACGATTTGTGAGATAATGCTTACTCTTATTACAATGGTTTGATGCAGCTCCTAGCCAAAGAGTCCAAGAAAGAAAATCAGCAAAAGCATAATTAGAAAAGCTAAACCAAATAAGAATTATAAGATGACAAACTCAAGGAATTCCAATTAAGACTAAAAGACTAAAAATTAAGACACACCTAAAGGTTGACACTCAAAAGGAAAGGTCCTAGATTAGCTCTAGATTAGATTAAGAAAACCAAAAATTAAAGAGTAAAAGAGAAGTAAGAAGTGATTCAAACAAAAAGTGCAATCCGGATTCAACTTAGTGGCATAATTCCAATGTTCTTTGATTCTCCTTGGATTTTTCTAATTTTGTTCTTTTTTTAATCATTTTTTTTTCAAATTTCTTTTAATTTAATGGAGATATCAATTTCCTTTTTCCAGAAAAATATTTCAGCCACAATAGAACTCAAATCAAATCCGAATTTGTTCAAAAATTTTCAGCCAAAGATAGTTCAAAGTTGTAAGGATTTTGGTGCACACTTTATGTCAACTCTTGCTTGTTTTCAAGTCAAATTTTCTTGTAAACTTATTTTCCATATAGGTTCTGTTTTTCCAGCAACTTTTTCAGATTCAAACAAGCAAGTACATGCACAAAAATTGAACTACTAGATTAGCCAAAAATTCTAGGAAAATTGTTCACAATTTTTAAGAAGTTTTTCATGGAATTAGATCAATAGAAACAATGAAGACATAATAGAAACCTAATTCTAAGAATCCATCAATGAATTAGTAATGGATATGAACTCAAAATAGTAAAATGAAAAGCACATATGATAGGCACACCAATTGTAGCTCTCGGCCAAAGCAATTTTTAAGTAGAAAATGAATGAACAAAAGGCTAGACTAAGCACATCTTGAATCAATGACAATAAAATAACTACACATGACTCTAGACAATTATAAGATTCAAAAAATTAAAAATCACATGCAATGCTCAAAGATGACCGAATCAAAAATTAAAGAACAAGACTCAAACAATTCAAACTGCACAAGTTGGATGCCTAGACACTTAGTGATTGCCGGATGAACACAAATAGCAATCACATACTTGGATCTATCAAATTTCAATAAAAAAAAATAGATCTAAAATAGTGAGACAATTATGAGACAATCAAGAACACAAAACACAAAAATCAAACGGTGAAAGAAGGTACAAAACCTCAAGGAGTGAACCAATGCTCTTGATACCAAAAATGATGGCAAAATTAGGTGAGGAGGATGAATGTTCTTCACCTTAAGCTTGCTCCGACCACTTGATCATCTCCTTGAAGGTTGTTGGACGAAATTTCCAGCTAGGAAGAGCCTTGATGATGGAAAGAAAAAGGAAGAATGAAGAAGAAGGGAGCACCAAAGCAAGGAGAGTAATGGATTACTCACAAAGGTGCTAAACCTAGAGAAAGTTCAAAGGAACCTAGGCTAGGTGAGAGTGACTTTGACGAGAGACTTGGCTGAAATGATTTCAGAAATCTCATTAATATTCAAAGTGATTACACAATGGAAGGAACTAAGCATATATAGGCATAGAAATCAAGAAAGTGGGGCTAATTCCTAAGGCACAAAAGTGGAGCCAAAATTTGAATTCAAATTTGAGTGAAGATAAAGTTTATAAGCTTCATAAAGTTCTTTATGGCTTAAAACAGGCACCAAGAGCCTGGTATAACAGAATTAATGGTTATCTTCTGCAAAAAGAATTCAAAAGAAGTGAAAATGAAGCCACCTTGTATGTGAAGAAGTCAAACAATGAAGTGCAACTCATTGTGTCTTTGTATGTTGATGATTTATTGGTTATAGGAAATGAATCAAATTCCTTAAACCAATTTAAGAAGGACATGGAGAAAGAATTTGAAATGACTAACTTAGGTAAAATGAAATACTTTCTTGGAATGGAGATTTCTCAGCAAAATGATGGAATATTCATTTCACAAAGAAAATATGCTTTAGAGATATTGAAGAAGTTTTACATGGATAAATGCAACCCTGTTGCTACTCCATTGGTTGCAAATGAAAATTTTTCAAAGAATGATGGTGAAAATAGTGCAGATGTTTCTATTTATAGAAGTATAATTGGAAGTTTGTTGTATCTTTCAGCAACCAGACCAAATTTAATGTTTGTTGCAAGTTTGCTTTCCAGATTCATGCATTCTCCAAGTCAAGTTCACTTTGATGCAGCAAAAAGAGTTTTGAGATATATAAAAAGTACAACTGATTATGGTTTGTATTTCTTAAAAAATGAAATTTGATAAGTTCAATGATATGCAGATAGTTATTGGGCATGAAGTATTGATGATTCTAAAAGCACCTCTGAATATGTGTTTTCATTTGACAGTGCTATTTTTTCTTGGAATTCAAAGAAACAGGATGTTGTGGCTCAATCTTCGACTGAAGCTGAGTATATTTCAGCTGCAGCTGCTGCAAATCAGGCTATTTGGCTGAGAAAGATTTTATTAGATGTGGGGCAAATTCAAGATGAAGCTACTGTCATTTGGGTGGATAACAAATATGCTATTTCTATTGCTAAAAATCCTATCCAACATGGAAGAACAAAGCACATTAATGTGAAGTTTCATCCATTAGAGAAGCAGAGAAATCAAAAGAAATCAGGTTGGAGCATTGCAGCTCTGAGGAATAGATTGCAAATATCATGACCAAAGCCCTCTCCAAGGGTCAATTTGAAATACTAAGATCAAGACAAGAAAAATCTCAAGGAGAAGTGTTAGACTTTGAAAATTTTCTTGATTTTTTGAATACAAAATCTGATGTAATGTACTTGTCTGACAACAATCTGTTTTAGGTGAAAAATAGGTAATTTGGAGTATGTTTTTTGTAAATATGCAGTAGGTTAAAGTGGGTAGTACAACTAAGTTAACAATGTATGCATTTTTTGAATAGTAAGCTTGTAATATTATAAATGGTTGTATTTGTAACTTGCTGATGTGAAAAAAAACGTGAATGAAGAACTGATTGCCCACTAAGAACTTGTCTTGCTCTGTTTTGCTCTCCGCTCTGCCTATCATTTTGTTTTCATTTTTCATCATCTTTGCATACCATGCAACAGAGAATATTGAAAGGAAGAACGAGTCAGTGGTACTGGCCTATAAGGTAATTTGGGAATGTCAATGTCACCCTCTAACATCTTAAGAGCCACAGTTATAGTTGGCCTTAACGCCACCACTGCATGAGCACATAGCATTCCAACATGAACAAACCTTTCCATCATTTTCTCTGGCCCTTCTCTTATTGACTCGTCAAATATTTCCTTCATCTTTCCAGATTCCATAAGCGTCCATACCCAATCCATAATTGCATCCTCAGATGAATTCAAAGTGTCAAGCACTTTTCTTCCACTCATGATTTCAAGAATCACAATACCAAAACTGTACACATCATTTTTTCTCGGTTAGTTGCCAATATAAAGCATACTCTGATGGCAAATAACCATAAGTGCCAGCAACCCTTGTGGTGAGATGAGACTGGCCTTCATAACCTTGCTTGGCCAAGCTAAAATCTGCCAATTTAGCATTCATTTTGGAATCCAAAAGTATGTTGGTAGTCTTAATGTCACTGTGATAAATTGGTTTGATTTCATAGTGCAAATAAGCAAGCCCCTTAGCCACATCAAGGATTATGTTCTTCCCTTGTGGCCATGTTAGACTATTAGCCCCACCAAGTGACATTTGGTAACAAAGGCTTCCATTAGGCATGAAATCATAAATCAGAAACCTCCTCTTACCTTTCAAATTATCACTTGTAACACAACAACCCCAATCTGATTTCAATAATTGGATATATTGTTATATATTATCGATTCCTTTAGTTATATAAAAAAATCAATTTATTTTCTGTGATTGTCACCCATAATTGCTGAATCTGTGTCCAACTTTGCATAGAAATAAAAATGTATGAAGTTCATAAAACTTTTACTTCTCTCCTCTTTTTTTTACTTCTCATCTATGTTTTTCTTCCTTTTAAACATGTTAAATGTTTCATCTCTATTTCTCAACCTTGTTCCTTCTATTTCTTTGACACCAACCAGAAAAGGGGTGGGTGATGTTGATTGTTGACTTCTCAATCTAAATTCCTCCTCCTAATCATATTACTATACAAATGCTCACGTGAACAACCTTGCTTAACAAGGCCATTGATAGAGGTCCAAATAACCCAGCCCCAAGTCAAATTAATCAAGTGGGCCACCCAAGACTCCAACCCATCAGAGCATATCCGGTTGGCTAAGAGATTATTATTTAGGATCCTCTTTTGCTATAGAGGCGTTAGCTTTCCATTAGAATGGTTGATTCTGAATAGCTTGGAATTCTTGGACCTTTATTTCCCTTACTATTCTTTTTAATAGTATTCTGAGTTGACATCAGCCAACTACCACCAAAAATCACATTCAATTACAAACACGCAAACATACATTTTTTCCGTGCATTTTCTGCAAAACGTGTGAAACTTGAGTTCTTTGTAAAGATGATAAGCAATTTCAAAGTTAAACTTTTTTTATACTATTTATTTTGTTAACTCTATTTTTATGTTATAACTAGCATAATTACTTAAAAAATATATTTTTAAATAAAACAAATTTATAATAAATTAGTTAAAAGTAACCATATTAACTTTTTTTTTGTTTTTTAATTTGAATGATTTGTCAAATATGTAATAAGGGTCCATGAGTCAGGGAAAAAGAGAAAGGTGTTTTGTGTCTCCAATTCATTACAAACTCAGAGATGATCCTTCCCTTACTCATGTCACTCTTGACTATTTGCATAGCTGGTGCTGCACCTTTCTCATGCCCCATGGATCTCAGCTACGTTGAGACCATTCCATGGAACACTTCAATCTGCAGAGACGCAATAGACAGCCAACCTTGCTGCCAAACTCTGTTCAGCATCTTCGGCATAGCCCTTGCTCAACGCCTCAAAGAAACTTCCTTTTTCTACCTTCCTAATCAAAACACTTCCTCCACTTGCTTACATGATTTCAAACTCAAGCTTGAAGCCTTGTCAATTCCACCAAAGATGCTCCTATTTTGCTTCCCTGACCCAACACTCTTCGTTACTAACTCTTCATTTTGTGCTGGCATTAGAACCACGCAAGATTGGAGGCAAAGGGTGGGCATGGTTACCCCATTAGACACATCTTGCAATGGTGACCTCAAGGACCAAACTCGCTGCAGTAATTGCTCTAACGCTGCCATCAAGTTGATTTCCAAGCTCAAGAGTATTGACCCAAATGCTAATGCCACAAAATGCTTCTACTTCGTGGTGTTGTATGCTGCAGGTGTTGCTAATCCGTTTGGCACAACAGATTTAAGCACTACAAGTTGCATACTAGGCCTGCCGCAACCTTCTAGTGGAATCACAAAAGGGTCATCAAATAAGAGAGCAAAAGTGATGAAGCTCGTTTTTTCTTTATTGGGTGCTGTTGTTGGGGTTGTGATTGCTTTTGTGCTGATGGTCATGTACAGGAAGTGGGATAAGAGAAAGAAGGAAAAAGTTCATCATCATAGACAAGTTGAAAACGAGGCCAGGGCCAGTGTTTTGCTTTTGTCTAACACAGATGCTAAATGGTTTGACATATCAGAGCTTCAACGTGCCACGGATAAATTTTCACAGGACAATATGGTTGGTCGAGGTGGTGATGGAGTTGTGTACAAAGGGACTCTTTCAGATGGCACTGTGGTTGCAATTAAGGAGATTTTTGATTTGGAAACTAAAGGGGATGAAGAGTTCTGCTATGAAGTGGAGATCATAAGCAAAATAAAGCACAGGAATCTTCTTTCTCTTAGGGGTTGTTGTGTTACAAGTGATAATTTGAAAGGTAAGAGGAGGTTTCTGGTTCATGATTTCATGCCTAATGGAAGCCTTTGTTACCAATTGTCACTTGGTGGGGCTAATAGGCTAACATGGCTACAAAGGAAGAACATAATCCTTGATGTGGCTAAGGGGCTTGCTTATTTGCACTATGAAATCAAACCTCCAATTTATCACCGTGACATTAAGGCTACCAACATACTTTTGGATTCCAAAATGAATGCTAAATTGGCTGATTTTAGCTTGGCCAAGCAAGGTTATGAAGGCCAGTCTCATCTCACCACAAGGGTTGCTGGCACATATGGTTATTTGGCACCAGAGTATGCTTTATATGGGCAACTAACTGAGAAAAGTGATGTATACAGTTTTGGTATTGTGATTCTTGAGACAATGAGTGGAAGAAAAGTGGTTGACACTTTAAATTCATCTGAGGATTCAATTACGGATTGGGTATGGACGCTTATGGAATCTGGAAAGATGAAGGAAATATTTGACGAGTCAATAAGAGAAGGGCCAGAGAAAATGATGGAAAGGTTTGTTCATGTTGGAATGTTATGTGCTCATGCGGTGGTGGCCTTAAGGCCAACTATTACTGAGGCTCTTAAGATGTTAGAGGGTGACATTGACATTCCCAAATTACCTGATAGGCCAGTACCACTTACTCATTCATCCTTTCAATATTCTCTGTTGCATGGTATGCAAAGAAGTGGTTAATGATCTATGCCACTCATTTCATCTTATTCAAGTATATACAATATAGATACGGGTTTAGTTTCTTAGTTTGTGTTAGTATGCAGAACTGCTTCTATAATGGTCTCTGTTTTGGAAGATAGAAAACAAAGACATATATGATATGGAATTCTAGTTAGATGCTAACTAAATTAATCAATTTTTCTTTGTAATTGTATGGAATCTTGAGACGGTACCAAATTACAAGTGCATCATCTGTTTTTTCTGTCTCTTTCTATTTTCTTATTGCAGTCAATAAATAAATAGCAAAAGATAAATATATGAGATTTTTAATTTATTATATACTTTTAAAACTCAGTATGATTAAAATATGTCCTAACGTACAGTGGTGGCGTGACAGCACTTTTAGTGGTTGATGGAGAGGTCTTAAAGTCATTTTGTGATTTCTAATAAATAACAGATTATGTATAAAAAAAAATTAAATTGGTTAAATCTTCTATTTGTACTTGGTTAAAAATTTATCTTGTGACCATATATGTGTAGGTAGTGCACAAGAGAAGTCGTCATAATAATACTGTAAAAACACTTTACATTTTTAAGTAAAGATTAAATTGTGTACTCTTTCATTATTACTTTAAGAAACACATTATTCCTAACGGTAAAAAGGAAGACGTGTATGAATTTAAAGACCAATTTGTTATACTTGACAGAAAGGTTTAATAATGTAATATTCATGTAATTATATTATAGGTATATATTATCAACTAGTTTTTATGAATAGTTAATCTCTGTTAAAAAACTTATCTAATTATATTTAGTAAAATCTCTCGTTATAATTATACAAGATTTGAAATCAAAATAACGTTTAAGAGATCCAAACTCAATTTTATTTAGTTTAATAACATATTGGTTAATATTGTAACATTTGATAAGACATAATAAAATTTATAATATAAAAAATAGAATACCAAACTTGCAAAAATTTATGTTGTGCTAAAATTATTAACTTTTTTTTTAATCTAAATATATTGACTTACAAAACATTGGCTTCAATGGTCCATTATTTTGTCTATCCTGTAAAGAGACTCGAGTGCTATAGTGTTTTTCTTAGGAAAAGTTTGGTCAGATTCCAACGTTGATTAATTTATTTCGCTTAATTTTTATTATTTTACATCAGGAATAATTAAATATTGACACATTTTTCTTAACAGGGACATCATCTAAATTTTAGATAAGTTATCTCCCCGATTATTATATTATTTTACCTGGTAACTAAAACTTGAGTGGTAGACCATTTTAAGTGTCATTTTTCTTTCAATCTTTTTTTTTTATTCACAATATGGTTCAAACTCGGTTTCATTTAGATTTTTTAAAAATATTTTTTTGGAAATACTAGTAACCCATTCTTTTCAATACACTTATATTTTTATTAGTTAGAATATATTGAAAAATAAAAAATTAAGTGAAAGAATCATTAAATAAAGTGTAAGACATACAAATCAATTTTCTTATTTTTTTACTAAATTTGAAGCAATTAGTTAGAATGTATTTATAAGAGTGTGACGCAAAATGTAATACTAACATTTTTCATATTTTTGTTTTGTTTTGTCACAAGTCAAAGACTAATCTTTCTTAAGCTATTTTGATTATTGTTGACACATAAATTTTCCCACACATTAAAAATTGAACATAAATTATTTGTTAAATAAGTTGTCTCTATAACTTGCGAATAATCAACATCGTGCATGAATCCATAGATTTCTTTATTTATTTTTAAAAGGCAGCAAATATTATCTGAGAATTATTGTAAAAGAAACCGACCAATGAAAAGAAAGTATTGCTATCTGCTTCTACCAACCTCACCTCAAACAAGCAAAATGGTCAAACGCAGTGACTAAAAAGCAAGTCAATTAATGAACCGCCACATTCGACTTCAACATAGGAACCCTCACATTTCCCAAGCTGTCATTTGACCAAAGCAAGTTCACTTTGACTGCTACAACATCATTCCATAAAACCCTCCAAACCCAACGTTTCCAAAACCATCACCACAAATGGAAAAAACCCATGTCACGTTCTTCTTCCTTCCCCTTCTCATCACATCCCTCTTCACCATTGCATCTTCTTCCTCATGCCCCATAAACTTCTCCTACGTCCAAACCCTCCCTTGGGACACTTCAACATGCAGAAACCCTATCCACGATCAACAACACTGTTGCCAAACCCTTACCACCCTCTTCCACGTAGGCCTCGCCCAACACCTCAAACAAACCTCCTTCTTTCAACTCCCCAATCAAAGCACTTCCTCCACTTGCTTGTCCAATTTCCAAGCCAACCTCACACCCTTGTCGATAAACTCATCTTTGGTCCCTTCTTGCTTCCCCAACCCTTCCATGTTTGTCACCAACATGTCCACGTGTGCAGGCATTGTAACTACCCAAGATTGGGAACAAAAGGTGGGTTCGGTTAGGGTTGGCCCATTACGGAGTTTTTGTAGTGGGGAACTTAGTGATCAAACTCGCTGTCACAATTGCGTTGCAGCGGGGTTAAAAGTGGCTTTTCAGCTTACTAGTGTTGACCCTAATGCTAGTGATGTAAATCAATGTTTTTCCTTTGCATCGCTATATGCTGCAGCGGTTGTTAATCCTCAAGGTACAACTGATGACACCACGATGGGATGCATATTAAACATACCATTGACAAAAGGGTCATCGAAGAATAGAGGGAAGGTTGTGAAGGTGGTTTTTACGGTGTTGGGGTGTGTGATCATTGCTTTTGTGGTGATGGTGATCATATACAGGAAGTGGGATAAGAGAAGGAAGGAGAATGTTTATCACAGGGAAATTGAAAACGGCGTCAGGAATAGTGTTTTGTCTAACACTGGTGCAAAATGGTTTCATGTATCTGAGCTTGAACGTGCCACTGATAGGTTTTCGCGGAGGAGTGTGGTTGGTCAAGGTGGTGACGGGGTTGTGTACAAAGGGAAACTCTCGGATGGTACTTTGGTTGCTATCAAGGAGAATTTTGATTTGGAGAATAAAGGGGATGAGGAGTTTTGCTATGAGGTGGAGATCATAAGCAAGATAAGGCACAGGAATCTTCTTGCTCTTCGTGGTTGTTGCATTTCAAGTGATAATATGAAAGGTAAGAGGAGGTTTCTGGTTTATGATTTCATGCCTAATGGAAGCCTTTGTTACCAACTGTCACTAGGTGGGGCTAATAGGCTAACATGGCCACAAAGGAAGAACATAATCCTTGATGTGGCTAAGGGGCTTGCTTATTTGCACTATGAGATCAAACCGCCAATTTATCATCGTGATATTAAGGCCACCAACATACTTTTGGATTCCAAAATGAGTGCTAAATTGGCTGATTTTGGGTTGGCAAGGGAAGGTAGTGAGGACCAGTCTCATTTCACCACAAGGGTTGCTGGCACATATGGTTATGTTGCACCCGAGTATGCTTTATATGGTCAACTAACAGATAAAAGTGATGTGTATAGTTTTGGTATTGTGATTCTTGAAATCATGAGTGGGAGAAAAGTGCTTGACAGTTTGAATTCATCTGCGGATGCAATCACGGATTGGGTGTGGACGCTTGTGGAATCAGGAAAGGTGGAAGATGTTTTTGATGAATCAATAAGAGAAGGGCCAGAGAAAATGATGGAAAGGTTTGTTCATGTTGGAATGCTATGTGCTCATGCGGTAATGGCTTTAAGGCCAAGTATTGCTGAGGCACTTAAGATGTTAGAGGGTGACACTGAGATTCCCAAATTACCAGATAGGCCAGTGCCTTTGGGTCATGCGTCCTTTCAATCTTCTCTGTTGCATGGTTTGCAAAGAAGTGGAAGATCTATGGCATGTTGAATAAGAAGACTATGAGTATGATATTGATTCAACCTCTTCGGCGGCTACGCTAATTTGTATAGGCAGTCTTTGGTTTATGATCACAACTTTTCTTAGCTATAGGACCAATTTTTTTTAGTGAGATTTTTTTTTTTTATATACAACATTTAAATTTCAGATGTGAAGAGTTAAATATGTATTACTCGAGTTAACATATAACATGTTAGACTGTTAGTATAACATTTCTTATATTTTTTTTTCAAAATTTTTCTATTCTTAAAACTTATGTAAATCGTTAAAATTTCATTTTCTATTCAGAATTAAATTAGTTAAATTATTTTAAATGATTGCCTATTTAAAATTTACATATCAAAACATTGAATTTTGCTAAAATATTAAAAATATCATTTTTTTTTTCCTTTTCAAACCTATACTGCAATCTATAAAATCATTTAAACTATTATAATTTTTCTAACTTTAAACTTATAAAACTATTTTGTATCTTAAATCTATCATAAAGCACATGGGTGGACAATACCGGTATTGGTGATGGTGGTGGGAATGTCATTGTCAAATATAGCGAGTGTGTTATTTTAAAACTAAAATCCAAATTTACAATTTTTTTTATTAGTTTTAAAAGCAAGTTTAAAAGTATTTTAAATTTAAGTTTAAAATCATTTTAACTTCATTTTACCGTGATGAGTATTGCTTTAAAAATTATATTTAAAAATTAAAAATCCAAAATTTAATTACAATGGCTCATCATGATCCTTACACTTAACGGATCAATAACTAGTAACGAAAAACTTACACAATTATCTAAGATTAACATATAAACAGTTCTTGGAAGGTATCTGTAATAATATAAATATATGCATAAGGACAAACTAACCAAAAGAGTAAATGTTCCTCAATGGAACAACCACAAATTTTGTGTGCATATATGTATATATATATAGTAATCCAAAACAATTGTAATGTAAACCTAAGTTGTCGGTCAAACAACTCTACAAAATTATATAGAAGTAACATCAAGCTACACCACCATTTAGCATGGCCCTCAACTACCAAACTCCACCAATCTAACCATATCCTACTTTCATGTAAATATAATCATCGCAATTCAATAATAAGGAAAATATACAAGGATAAGCTACTATACAAAGAATCAACAAAGTATATAGAAAAATTAACTAACTATACTATAACTTAACTACATAACATGTTCTCAACTTACAATATAATCATACATTCACCACACCATCTCATTATGGAACATAAGCAAAACCACAAAATCTCCAACTTTTCTGCAAGGTAACATAGTATATGCCCAACATGATGCCTAACTTGATACATGTTACATAATACAACTAAAACAACACAACCATAACACCTAAGCTTGACATTCCACAACTTTCAAAAGATAAACAATTTAATAATACCACAATTCCCCACACAACTAAATTTATAGCATCTCAACTTATACAATATTGCATCATAGCAATATATATCAACATACCAAATATAGAAGAAAATACAACTATACTACCAATACCAGTATGTAGACCACACAACAACCACTTCATGGTCTACAACACATATCAACACAACAAACACCTTAACATGACATTCAACACCTCACAAGAGTAATCAACTCAACAATATATGATAATTCATATTTTATCACATCAATGTCATTCAACAATCAATCCACATAGCATATGGACACACTGAAAACAAATACATCATATACATCACACCTCAACTACATGTGTCATCGTGCATTTACCTACGAAGATCTCCTATAACAAATATGAGTAGTTTAAGTGACTTGACCCTACTGAACCAACCAATAACTTTCACGCCTTACATGTTTGCTAAATTTGGATACCAACCTCTACCACACATGATTTTTCGAACATCGTCACTTAAACTAGAAAAGTCTAGTACAACCGTCAGGTATAACATAGCTTGAGTGTGAGCTTACCATGACATTGACATGTATTAATCAGCTCTACTATGGATTACAACCTAACTAACTATTCTCGTGATACTGCACACCTTTATAATAATTAGTTAAGGGTTGTAGCTCTCTACTTCATACCTTACTGCAATATTAATTAAGGATTTAGAGGAGACTCAACACCCTATTTCACAAGATAACACATACTCAATGAGGATTTTTCAACAATTTAAAGCACTATAGCATCATATCCTCATAATGAGATATTTATCTTTCAAAAACACCCGCTCCTAGTCCTAAGTCAATCAATACCATATGCCTAAATGCCTTAAGCAATTTCAACATCTTCACCTCAACATTCAATAATAGAATCATCTATACACATCATTCCAAATCAATGTATATAGAACCAACAACATTCAACTATCAACAATTTAGTCATCGATATACATTATCCTAAATCAATGTATAAAGAACTAGCACCATACATCCTCATACCATATGTGAGATTCAACTATCATACAAATATTTAACACAATTTATACAACACTTGGAATATTATCCAATTCAACTTAAAACAACTCAACATGCTTCATTTCAACATCTTACAACATGATTCATCAATCATAAGCAACATAATATAACACCATTCCACAATTATTCAAGTTGTTGCAACAATATGATAAATAATATCATAGATATCTTGAATGTCCCAAAAATTGCCCAACCAATTTGACTTGAAATATCATTCAAGTGAATCTATCCAAATTTAGTTTAGCCAAGGAAATTTGGTCCATCTATTTCACCCATCAAATGAATCTATCCAAATTTCCCTTGAACAAGGAAATTTGGCCTAACTATTTTAACTCATCAAGTGAATTTGTCCAAATTTTGCCTAACCAAGAAAATTTGGCCTAGTCAAATTAATTTCAGAATGGTCTCACCCCCAATTTTACTTGGTTAAAAAAAAATTGGTCCAACAAAATTGTGTCAAATCTATATGCAAAATCACTATTTATTTTTTTTTACCTTTTTCTCATTAACTCACCTACAAGTTTAAAAATGGAAATCCAAACCATGGAAAATGATTCTAAGCAACTTATATAACACAAATCTAACCTTGGATTAAACATGCAACAATCACAAGATCAAAACACTAATTTTCATCATCATGCTCAAAACTAGCCAAACTCACTACCTAATCTTCATTTCAATCACAACAAAAGCATGGATTCAATGAAGTTTAAACATCATACAACATTTTAGAACAAGAAACTACCAATTAGGGGAAGAAAAAGGATCTTCTAACGAAATCGGATTTAAGATTGGACTCCATTGGTCCCGTAATACCTCTCTTTAACTTCTCTCTAAAATCCTAAAGTTATGAATTATGAAGTTCATTTCTCATAATCTACCATCCATAAACTATCTCTCATGCATATATAAGTTATATCTTCTATAACTTAAGTTTCGAGTTATTCACAATCTAACTTCCATAAAAATTAAAAACTATGAACAATAAAATAAAACAAAATATATTACTTAATTACATTTATCACAATAAACATAATTAAGAAAACATTACATCAACCACCAAACATGTCCCAAGTCTATAAACATATACTCTTAACATTATTATTTTTAAATTATTTTTTTTATTAGTTTAGATGATAAGGTTTGTAACTTGAAATATAAATGTAATCATTTAACATTAAGAAAATTACGGAACACATGGATTAATTGATGTATCATTATTTTAACTTAAAAAAATATCTTCCATTTGAGTACTCTAACTCGTATAAGATTGTTTTTGTGGTTTGTTGCCTGTATACCAAATCGGCCAATATTACGAAAAGCGCTTCCATTCTTTATAACTTACTTCAAAAAGTTCGAGTTTCAAATTCTTTGGGTTTATCCAAAGATACTTCTAAACAATATTAGTTAGTCTTGAGAAAAATATACGAAAAAGCTTTTGATATTTTAATTAAACTTTTTTTTAATTACTACTTAACTCTCCCCACCTAGAACAATTTTCATAACATTTATATCTTTTACAAATAGTTATTCTCTAGTTAAAAAAAAAAAAAAAAAAAAAAAAAAAAAAAAAAAAGTAGTAAAATGAGTTACTCAAACCGTTGCTTTTAGACTCAACCGATGCAGGTCATAAGTTATAATGGGTTAGGTTCAAAAGAACTATATTTTATTTAGTTTTCTAATTTAAGCCTAAGTTCAATCTGACATGGGTTGCAGACTTTTTATCTAGCCCATCATTTTTACTCTTTTTTTAAAAATAATTTTTCAAAATTTAATATTCAGATATACTTTGATGATCATTTCTGTTTGACATATTTATTTTTATGCAATAAATAAAATATACATAATTATTTTATTATATCATTTCATTTAAAAACGATTAAAATGTTATGTTATGATAATTACTATAATTAATTTTAATTCAAAAAATACTTATATATTATAAGAAAATCAATCTTATTTATTAACGTATAAAAGTTATAGTAAAAGTAGTTGTATATTTAATGATTTATGCATGAGTATGTAAACGTTACAAATGTCTAATACCATTTATATGTATCTCTAAAAGTGTACAAAATCTACTAAGTAGTCTATATAAAAAATAATAATATTTCAAAGTTTCATAACATCTTAAATATATGTAATTTATGGTAGATAATATAACTTAGATCCATGTACTATAACTTTACAAGTATTTGTTTTTTCAAAATCAAACATCAAAACCTATGTTAAACTATAATGAAAGTTGCAGAAAAGTTTGATTAAGGACAAATATCACCTCATTTAATGTGATCAAAAATTAAAGTTTATGAAAAAGGTTTATTAAAACTAAACGTAAAATTCTTGGATTTCTAACAAATATATATAAATATTTCTAAAAAAAAATTATAACCAAGCAAATAAATTTTAGGTATTCTTAAAAATCATGATTTTTATGATTCATGATTTTTAGGAATTTTGATTATTAGACATAAATTTTTTTTTTTTTTCATTTCTTCTACTAAACGCGCCTTATAGTTTGATTGGAAAAGTTTTTTCATATTTGAAAATAGCAATTTCTGGACATCACCAAATTTAGGTATTATGATTCTTAAAAATAATTAAAATTGGTTAGGTTTCCATAAATTTTCTATAAAATGTTTGCATGTGTTTCCTTGTTTTTTTTTGAAACAACAAAGGATATTTTATTTATCTAATAGCACCAGAAGTGCAACAAAGCATGTGTTTCCTTGTATTTGTTATGTCTTTATTTCTTTCCTTTAATCATATGATATCGATCATATATAATCATAGATGCCCTTGTTCAATTCATCAAATAATGAATGCTGAGTAATCTAATGGCCCCAACTTTCATATCGAATTCAAGTTAAAGGTTCTGGAGTGTGCCCTGGCTAAGTGGAATAAACACTTGAATGATCCACATGTCTATCAATATTCAATAGTACACCTTAAAAAAAAAAAAAAACTTGTCTATCATTAACGTTAATGATTTAGAATCTGAATCTTAGCTGTACATAATTGATAAACTTGTGCCAGTTGACCTACTACATGATAAAATTAAAATATACAGTTGTTGAATTTGGCCAACCACAAGAATGGAGAATAAGAAAGCAAGTGGATGGTTGGGGCCAGAAAGTATAAAAAAACTTATGTGTCTAAAATGACCAAACACAAAAGCCTAATAAGGATAACAAAAATAAAAGGAGGGTCGAGAAGCAAGAAGAAAACCCAAGTTGTTGACTAGTTTTATAAAATAAAAGAGAGAGAGAGAGATGAAATTCTAGTATTTGAATGTAAAAGGTAAGAGGCTAGGTTCCTTGCATTCAAAGCATTGAAGTATATAGTCACTCAAAAAAAAAAAGTATTAAAGTATATTATGATCTCTATATGCCTTTTGTATGACGCTATACAAATGCAACAAATGAAACTTTATCACAACTATTTCTTCTGTAATCGTATGTGATAAAATTACAATGTATACAAAATGAAGAAGAATTCCATATATTTACGACACCTTCTCAAAGGTCAATTTCAACCTTCAAATGCCAAGTGGTGGCCGTGAATTTCTGACTCATACCTAAGTCTTATCCTAATACTATTGGCTGCGGCACAAAGAAACTAGTCTAGAGTTTCAATTTACATTGTGCTCATACTTGTGCTGATAGTGGTTGAATAAGATGAAAGAAAAGGCGTTGATCTTCCACTTCTTTGCAAACCATGCAAAAAAGAAGATTGAAAGGACTCATGACCAAGTGGTACTGGCCTATCAGGTAATTGGGGAATGTCAATGTCACCCTCTAACATCTTAAGTGCCTCAGCAATAGTAGGCCTTAACGTCACCATTGCATGAGCACAAAGTATCCCCACAAGAACAAACCTTTCCATGATCTTTTCTGGCCCTTCTTTTATTGACTCGTCAAAAATATCCTCAATGTTCCCTGATTTTGCAAGTGTCCATGCCCAATCCGTGATTAAAACCACTGATGAATTCATTGCATCAAGCACTTTTCTCCCACTCATGATCTCAAGAATCACAATGCCAAAACTGTACACATCACTCTTCTCTGTTAGTTGTCCATACAGAGCATACTCTGGTGCCAAATAACCGTATGTGCCAGCCACCCTTGTGGTGAGATGAGACTGGCCCTCATTGCCTTGCTTGGCCAACCCAAAATCTGACACTTTGGCCTTCATTTTGGAATCCAAAAGTATGTTGGTGGCCTTAATGTCACGGTGATAAATTGGGGGTTTGATTTCATAGTGCAAATAAGCAAGCCCCTTAGCCACATCAAGGATTATGTTCTTCCTTTGTGGCCACGTTAGCCTATTAGCCCCAGTGATGGACAATTGGTAACTGAGACTACCATTAGGCATGAAATCATAAACCAGAAACCTCCTTTTACCTTTCAAATTATCACTTGAAATGCAACAACCCCGAAGTGCAAGAAGATTCCTGTGCTTTATTTTGCTTATGATCTCCACCTCATAGCAGAAATCCTCATCCCCTTTAGTTTCCAAATCAAAAATCTCCTTAACTGCAACCACAGTGCCATCCGCAAGAGTCCCTTTGTACACAACACCATCACCGCCTTGGCCAACCATATTCTTCTGATTAAATTTGTTAGTGGCACGTTCAAGCTCCGATATGTGAAACCACTTTGCCCCAGTATTAGGCAAAACACTGTTCCTCACACCGTTTTCAACTGACCTATGATACCTACTCTCCTTCCTTCTCTTATCCCACTTCCTGTACATGACAAACAGCACAAAAGCAAGCACAATACCAACAACAGCACCCAACAACCCAAAGACAATTTTCAGCACTTTATTTGATGACCCTTTAACAGACAGTGGCATGCCTAGTATGCAACTAGCCGTGCCTAAATCTGTTGGACCACGCTCGTTAACAATAGCCGTAGCATACAAAACCGTGAAGTAAAAACAATTTGTGGCATTTGAGTCCATACCATTGAGCTGTGAAGTCACCTTGAGGCCAGCATCAGAACAAATGCTGCACCTAGTTTGATCACTTAGGTCCCCATTGCAAGAAGTGTCAACAGGGCTAATCAAACCCACTTTTTGCTTCCAATCTTCAAGTGTCACAATACCTGCACATACGGAAGAGTTGGTAACAAACTGTGATGGGTTAGGGAAACAAGAAGGGACCAAAGATGGGTCAATTCCCAAAGCTTCGAGTTTCTCCTGGAAATTTGACAAACAGGTGGAGGAAGTGTTTACATTGGGAAGTTGAAACAAGGATGTTTCTTTAAGGTGTTGGGCTAGCCCTATGCCTATAACACTAAGCAAAGCTTGGCAACAATGACCCTTATCAATTGGGTTTCTACATGTTGAAGTGTCCCATGGAAAGGTCTCAACATAGCTGAGATCCATGGGGCATGATGAGGATTCAGCACCATGCACGGTTATGAGGAAAAACATGATCATGGGGAGGGGAAGGAGCATTAGCATCACTTGCTTAGCCATTTGTGAGTTTTGGTGGAGACACACACAAACATTGCTCTTCAAACCAACCATTGGATTCTTATAACACATAACAGTTCAGATAAGTGTTAGTTTTACTAGTCAACCTTGGGTTGCGGTGGTCAAAATCACGTTTAGTAAAATTATAATACAAAGTTTGGATTAAAAAATACATCATTGATATTAACGAGCAAACGAGGTTTAGTTTTTTTTATTTATTATTTTTTATGCTGACCGTGGTCAAATCGTAACCACCATGTTTCTCTAACAGGTGTTTTTTAATTGTGGACAAGGACATTTGCATTTTCTCACGGCTTTCTTTGGTCCCAAGTCTAAATAAGCAAGCTTTATAAAACACCGCCGGTTTATGATTACGTATCATGGTTAAACAAATGATATACCTCAATCATTTTCTCAAAATTAAAATGATAACGAAATCATATTGTTTTAATTTTAAATATAATATAACAAACTATATTAAATAATATAATATAACATTAAAAATTAAACTTTATTTATAAATTTCTTAACTCGTGACAATACCCAATTTTGTACTCTCTTTTACTTTATTTTTTATTTCATTTATTTTAAAATAAATATCAATTATGTTTTCTTAAATTATATGTTTGAGGAATTGTCATGAATTTATTCGCTTTTTTTTTTTTTTGCAAAATTATTTTGTTAAAGAAGATTTATGTTTGATTCTCCTTGTCTCTCTTCGTTAGTCCATTTACGTATGGGGCTATCTCAGCCCAAAGTGTTTCCTTGATGTGGGTCATCTCCAAGTTCACTTATTTATTTATTTAGTACCTTTTTATATTTTGGGCCATTTAAGCCCATTCTGGAAGGGAATAAAAAATAAAAATAGTTAAAATATTGAGTAGTAAATATACGAGAATGTTGTGGAGAAGAAGAAATGTCACCATTCTGAGTCATGATTTATGGTGACTAGAGGAGGTGAAAAAGAAAGATGAACAAAGCCTGGTTGCACAATTATTATTGATAAAAGAGGGTGCAATAGTCTAAGCAAGGGGAAAATGCATTGAATGTTGATGGCTTAAAGTTAGCTTGTGCAAGATTAAAGTATACTATTACTCAGTCTTAATATATATTCTTATTAACTTTTTGTTAGATCATATATTCTCTTTGATAAGTATGAAATTGATCGATCAATTTCTTAAAGAATGATCAAATAATGTCAAATTAGAGGTCTCTTCTAATTATATACTTTTCTTTTTCTTTGTTTCCCATACATACAAATCACATGCTTAATTAAAAGACCTGGGTCCCTTCCATACCATGATTTTACTTTAAATGTTATAAATATTTTATATACCTTATCTATTATATCTACGTCTTATTTACCATAATTAATAAGAGATAGTTAAGTAATAATTGAATTCCCTCGTCAAAAAAGTGATGATATTAAATAATTAAAATTTGAAAATTCTTTCTAATAATTCTAGCTAGGTGAATGCACTTGTTAAGAAATGTCATGTTAGAGCAATCCTTTTCTGATAATAGGCGAATGTACTTTTTTAATTAGTAGTAAATATTTTATTCTATAAAAACAACCAATATCATTTTCTAACTGCAATACATGGATCAAAGAATAAATATTCAGTTACATTATTGAATATAACTCCCATATATATATATATATATA